GTCAGTAGCATATTCTATGTTCTTTGCCAGTACCACAGTTAAAGTGCATCTGTTCTTCTTCATGATCAGGATAAGTGAAGAACGCCTGGAGATAGGCCCCATCATCAGAGGCACTTTGTGGTAGTTAAGGTTATGTGTCACCTTGGCTGGGCCTGGTTTTGAGTGGCTGGGCAGCTGGATGTAGTGATTCCCCATGATGAGACTGGTAATCACCTTCATAATGGAATCTACTGTGAATAGCTGAGTAGCTACCTTAACGGATGTGCTCTGCTTCCAGTACATAAGAACATGCTTTGAGAAAGGCCTTGAGCTTTTTGGCACATCTGGATCCTGGGTTTGGCTGAGTCTTCCATCTCAGTAGCATGCCCTGTTGTCCGCCAATCTTGGGACTGTTTCTGGACTTGAACTAGTGGCCTGCCATGTTGCATGATAACCTTGGGACTGTGCCATTTTACTTGTCAACCTTGGGTTTGTCAGCCTCAGCAGCCAGCAGCTGTCAGAGTTAAGAGAAGCCTCTAGCTTCAGTGGGCCAAGAGCAAGAGGCAGAGCTGAAGCCCAAGGTCAACTGGCCTTCATCTAGCCCCTAGAGCTGGCACTTTGATCTGGGACTTCTAGCCTACTAAACTTTAAGAATAAATCCCTGTTTGTTCAAACCATACTTTTGTGGTATTTTCTATTAGAGCAGCACTAGCAGACCAAAGCAGTCTTCCTTATTCATTGTCCAGCTTTCCCATACACATGAGGTGATTGAGAATACCATGGTTTGGATCAGGTGCACCTTAGTCCTCAAAGTGACATCTTTGCTTTTTAACATTTGAAAGAGGTCTTTTGTAGCAGATTTGCCCAATGCATTCTGTCACTTGATTTCCTGGTAGTGCATCAGAATCACCTGGAGGACATGTGAAAACCCAGACCGCTGGGCCCCACCCACAGACTTTCTGATTCTGCAGGTCTGGAGTGTGGCCTGAGCATGTGCGTTGCTAACGGGTTCCCAAGTGATACTGATGCCGCTGGGGAGGGACTGCATCTTGCCGACCACTGGATCAAACACACATAGCTGCTGACCTAAACAAAGGTCGGTGGTTCAAACCCACCATCCACTGTAGGAGAAAAGACCTGGTGATGTGCTTCCATAAAGATTACGGCCTAGGAAACCTCATGGGGCAGGTTTGCTCTGTCCTATAATAAGGTCACCATAAATCAGAACCAACTCCATGGCACACACCAACAGTCTGATGGATGTCTGTTTCAAATTGGGACACTTCCATGCACCCTGAAGCATGCCCAGAAGGGCTGGGAATGATATAACTGTTTTTTAAAATTGACAAAACATTTTAAATTGGAACTTTAAATATAGTGGTTTTGAACATCACTCTCCTTAAAATGTCACTTTGAAGAGTGCTTTAACATTTTAAGAGTGTAAAAATATTTAGGCAGTATAGTGACTGTTAACCAGAAGACTGGAGGTTCAAACCCACCAGCCACTCCTTGGAAGGAAGGTTGGGCAATCTACTTCCAAAGTGATGCTGCCTCAGAAACCCAAAAAGGGGTCTTTATGAGTCGGATCCAACTCCCAGGGCAGTTGTTGCGTTGCGTTTTTGTGAATCTTATAAAACTCATAGGGTTTTATTATTTCAGTGTTGGAGTGAAACAGTACTTTTCCAGCAACAGACATCTCAGTGTATTCTTAAAGCTCATTACAATTTGGAAGAGGAAATAAGATACAGGGAAATAGGAGAGTGATGGTGTTGTTAGCTAATCGTGGTCAGCTATAGCAAAACAAATCATCTCATTGACCTGGCATAGCATCTTGTTTGAGGTTTACTATCCAATTCATAAGGAACCCTGTTTTGCACTCAGCTGCTAACTGAAAGGTCAGTGATTCAAATCCATCAGCAGCTTCATGGGAGAAAGATGAGATAGTCTGCTTCCGTTAAGGATGACAGCCTTGGAAACCCTATGGGGCAGTTCTCCTCTGCTCTATTGAGTTTCTAGGAGTCAGAATCTACATGCTGGCAATGGGTTTGGTTAACAATGCTGGTTATAGAAGCCTGTCTCTCGTCATTTTGACGGGTATTTCTGCCTTCGTTTAGATGCCTGATAAACTGAGGTATGACAAAAAGCTCCTAAGATTTTGTTGCTGTTGGGTGCCATTGAGTCAATTCAGACTCACAGCAATCTTGTGTGACAGAGCAGAACTGACTCACAGGGTTTCCTAATGTCATCTTTGTAAGGAAGCAGATGGCTGGGTCTTTTTTCTACTGATTCAAACTGCCATCCTTTCAGTTAGCAGTTGAATGCTTCACCACTGCACCACCAGGGCTCCTTAGGACTCCATTGAACTATGCCCTGGTCCTAGAATGCTGCTGTCTTTGGGCTTCTCTTTACTTCTTTGCCTGTTTCTATATTTGGTTTCCTTCACTTTGCACATTTGCTTTTGAAGGGCAGGTCCTAGATGGTGTCTCTTTTTTTCCAGCAGGATAAGGACAGCATCTAAAATGCCTTCATAAGTGCCCATGAGATTTTAACAGCTTACCAAAAATTCCTCTTCTCACTTAAGTGACTGTATAACTTCTCTGTTATATTGTTGCTTTTATAATCAGATAAATAATAAAGATTCAATACAAAACAAAAGAATTTGATACTGAAAATAGCCAATCATGCCACCAATTTGGTGTTTAAAATAAGAGAGGACCAGAAGAGACGTTCAAGAGCTCTGGTAGCGTAATGCCTAAGGCACTTGACTGCTAACCAGAAGGCTGGTGGTTCAAACCTACCAGCCACTCCTTGGAAAGAAGATGGGGCAATCTACTTTCGTAGTGATACCGCCTCAGAAACCCAAGGAGGGGTCGCTGTGAGACAGGTCTGACTCGAGGGCACATAACAACAATAACAGCAACAGAAGGGATGTTCAGACATCAATAACTGAGCGTGTGGAGTGAGGAAATTGGAGTTTCTCATCTAGTGGTTCGGTGATCAGTTACAGGAGCCCAAGGTGGATGGTGGAATTCCTGGGTGGTTACCTCACTCCACTGCTAACCAAAAAGTCAGTGTTCAAGTCCACCCAGAAGCACTTAGAAGAAATACCTGGCATTCTCCTGAAAAATGGGCCACTGCAAAGCCAATGGAGCAGGTTTACCCTGACACACTCGGTCACCTTGAGTGAAAGTTGACTCCGTGGGAACTGGTTACTAGTGTCATAGACTGTAAACCCCCAGAGGGCAGGGCCAGTCTCACACCATACAGCCATTTCAGACACTCACAGCAGCACTTGGACCCTTGTTTAAGAAATGTCCATTGGATGGATGGATGGATGGCTTAGGATTGACACAGTTTAAAGTCTAGACCAGGGGCTGGCAACAAATAGCCAGACCACTACATCAGGCCAGTGCCAGCATATATATAAAGTTTTACTGGAACACAGTCATGCCGAGACTGTGGCCATATCTCCCACAGGCTCTCAAATCCTTACTGTCTGGACTTTTACAGAAGAAGCTTGCCTGCCCTTGGTCCATACTGTTATCCAGATTTCTGCAGGCTTCTGTATCAGCATAGAAGGAAGTAAAGGAGAAACAATGTTTGCTTAAACCCCTAGCATCTGGCTTTGACTTTCTGACCTATCTTTCTCACCACTGGAGGTAGAGAGCCCCAGTATGAATATTTATTTACTTTATTTAAAGGGAAATGCAATGACAGCCATTCCTCAGAGAGATTGTGGGTTCCAGACCACTGCAATAAAGTGAAGATCCCAGTAAAGTGAGTTATATGAATGTTTTGGTTTCCCAGTGCATATTAAAGTTACATTTATACTCTACTGTAGTCTATGAGGGAGCTCTGGTAGCATAGTGGCTAAGGCACTTGACTGCTAACCAGAAGGCTGGCTGTTCAAACCCACTAGCCACTCCTCGGAAGGAAGGTTGGGCAATCCTACTTCCGTAGTGATACTGCCTCGGAAACCCAAGGAGGGGTCGCTATGAGTCGGGTCCGACTCGACGGCACATAACAACAACAACAACAACGTAGTCTATGAAGGAGCTCTGGTAGCATAGTGCCTAAGGCATTTAACTGCTAACCAGGAGGCTGGTGGTTCAAACCCACCAGCCACTCCTCGGAAGGAAGGTCAGGCAATCTACTTCCGTCGTGATACTGCCTCAGAAACCCAAAGAGTGGCCGCTATGGGTCAGATCTGACTCAATGGCAGTGTGTTTGGTTTGGTGGTAGTCTATGAAGTGTGCAATAGCGTGATGAGAAAGTTTGAAATACTGTGAGAATGACCAAAATGTAACACAAAGTGAGCACATGCTGTTGGAAGAAGGACACCTATAGACTTGCTCAGTAAAGGGTTACCAAAAAACAAAACAAATCCACTGCCATTGATTTGATTCCTAATCATAGCAATCCAGTGGGACAGAGTAGAACTGCCTCATAGGGTTTCCTAGGCTGTTAGTCTTTACTGAAGCAGACTACCTTATCTTCCTCCTGTGGAGCAGCTCGTGGGTTTGAACCACAGACCTTTTGGGTAGCAGCTGAATGTCTTAACCACTGCGCCACTAGAGCTTCTACAGGGTTGACACAAACCTTCATTTTTTTTTTTTTTTAAAGCAGTATCTGCAAAGTGCGGTAAAGCAAAGTGCAGTAAAATGAGATATGCCTGTAATTTTGTTGTAAGAACATTACGACAGCCAGCTTAGCTAGACTTGATCTGCAATTTAAGATTGGAGTTTCTGGGTGGAGCTTAGACTGTCTGGCTTTATGTAATTAAAACCACCTCCGAAATGTGTTTGGTTTCCCAGTACAGATCGTCAGCCAGAGCCCTTCAGCTGTGCCCCTAGGGAGAGGCAAGCCAGCCTGAGAAACCCTCCTTTATTTTGGCAGCAGGAGAAGCTGCAGACGATTTTGTTACCTACATACTCAGCTACCTTGCTCTGTCAGGGTTTAGAGGGAAAGTCTTGAGGAGCCGTCACTCATCATGTGGTCTTTCTCTTTTTTCCTCTTTTCAGAGGGACGGATGGCCATCCAGGATATCCCTGCTGCCACCAGCAGAGGGCACATGGAGAACGCACCCGACCTGGTTCCTGACTCCACCTACTACAGCAGCTTCTACCAGCCGTCTCTGTTCCCTTACTACAACAACCTGTACAACTACCCACAGTACTCCATGGCCCTGGCCACTGACTCCTCACACGGGGACATGGGGAATCCCCTTGGGGGGTCCCCTGTGAAGAATAGCCTGCGGAACCTGCCGGCAACTTATGTGCCTGGTCAGACAGGAAACCAGTGGCAGGTAAGATATTACCCGAGAGTAGACTGGATGTGCAAACACCACACTTTCAGACACACAGATACCCTCACACACACACTCTTAACACACAGAGAGAGCACCTTACATGCCTGATCAGACGGGAAACCAGTAGCAGGTAAGATTACTTGAGAGTAGACTGGATATGCAAACACCACACTCAGACACTCACAGGTACCCTCACACACACACTTTTAACACACACAGAGAGCACCTTACATGCCTGGTGAGACAGGAAACCAGTGGCAGGTAACCCGAGAAAGGACTGGATATAGGAACACCATACTCACAGACACCCAACCATCTATCTGAGGCCTACCTCGTCTACCTTGTCTCTCACTTTCTGGGAGAAGCTTAGAAATGCTGGGTGCAGCCTTCTGGGTGCAGTGAGCTCAGTGATGCCTTTGTGCCCTGGGAAGGAGTGTTGTGGTCTGTGTGACTCCACAGACAAAAGTAAGGCAAAGAGGTGGCACATTCTCCTGTTGGGCCAACCTGGGTGCCTTCTGAGCTAACAGCAAAGGCCAGGTTTTTTGTTTTTTTTGTTTTTTAATTGTGATTTGGATGAAAGTTTACAGAGCAAATTCACTTTCCATACAGCAGTTCACATACACTTTGTCTCATGACATTGACTACAATTTACCACAATGCAACAGTTCTCCTCCCACTTCTTCCCCATAGTTACCTCTTCACTGTGCACTCCTGCCCCCTGAGCTGTCTTCCTGTGCATACACAGCCCTTCTGTTTTCCCATGATTGTTCTCTCCAAGGAGTGTATCTACCTAGTATAAATGTTCACCTCATATGTCTGTCTTTTATTTGGCTGGAAGCCCAAGGTGTCAGTTCACTTCCAGACCTGAAGGGCATCTAGGGGCCATAGTCTGAATGGTTCCATCAGGCTCCATCAGTTCAGCAAACCTGGTCCTTTTTCTTTTTTTCCAAATGATTTTGAGTTTTGTTCCACATTGTTCTCCCTCTCTATCCAGGATCTCATATATATATCCCCCCTCTGAGTGGTTGACAGTGGTAGTGGGGCACCATCTAGTTCTTCTGGTCTCATAATTGTATAGGCTGAGGATTGCATGGTGTACCAGTTGCTTTGGACTAATTGTTTCCATGAATCTTTGGTTTTCTTCATTTTTCTTTGCTCTGGATGAGGAGAGACCCATCATTGCATCTAGATGGCTGATTGAAAGCTTTTAAGATCCCAGTTGCTACTTGCCATAGTAGGAGGTGGAACAATGTTCTGTATAATGTATTATACCAGTTGTGCTTGATGTCCCCTGAGACTATGGTCCCAAGCCCACAGGTTCAACTACTCGGTCACTCTGGGTAGCTTACTGTGCCCAAGAAGTGACCACAACCTTGTCTCTTGTCAGCTCTACTATATACCTGGGAAGTCTTACAGACACAAATACACTTGTAGAAACATTTTCTGCCAACCCTATACATGATCTTGGGCATACTTCCCCCTGCATAGCCATACCTAATAGTTCAGCCTGTCTACCCATCTGTCCACCCGTATATACATGTTTGCCTTCACTGACAACGCAGTACTATATGTGCAAAAGGGTCCATCTTTGTTGTCTGTACTTCCCATATACCTCTCTGTGCCTTCCTCTACAATGCCACCATGTTGATCACTCACATTTGGTACATTGCCCTTCTCTTCACCCAAATCAATACTTGTCTCTACCTATCTAACAGTATTCTCTCCACTCCCCTCCCACGCTTGTTAACCAACAAAGAAAATTTCCTTCCATATATAAACCTTCCCTTGACTCTTTACAATAACAGATTAATACAATATTTGTCCTTCTGTGGTTGATTTATTTCAGTCTGCATAATGTCCTCCAAGTTCATCCACATTAATGCGGTAGTTTGTAGAGTCTATGTTATTATTTAGGGTTGCATAGTATTCCGTTGTGTGTATGTACCATAGTTTGTTTATCCATTCTTCAGTTGATGGAAGTCTAGGTTTCTATCTTTTGCAGATGCCAGGCTTTTATCTGCTCAGTATGTGTTTGGAAAAGAGTGTGCAGTCAAGAACGTTTGCTATTTGGGGTAAAAGAAAGGATTTTGCTCCAGGAGAGAAGGCGTGTTCTTGCAGGGCTATCCTGTCTCCTGTCTGAACCTTTCCATCCTGCTGACTCCAGGCACTGAAAGAGGCTGGGCCACCACGAAGTGGGGGTGCTTGCTGTACCAGGTGAAAGGTTATAGTCGGGACCTCCAGCCCCCTTCCAAACCTGAGTTATTCTGATTCTGTGAGAACCAGCCCCATTTTGGAAGCATGGATTGTGCTCAGGTTTTCTCAACTTAAAAATGGATTTCCTTTTTTGTTGTTCAGAATATACACATCAGAACATGCACCAGTTCAACAATTTCTGCATTTACAGTTCAGTGACATTGATAATATTCTTCGAGTTGTGTCACCATTCTCGCCCTCCATTTCCAAGTTGTTCCTCCCCTACTAGCATCTTACCTCCCCAGAAGATTCTTGTCTGTCTTGTTCTTGTCAATTTGATCCCATACAAATAGATCTGAAAAGAGCCCAGTGTTTAAGATAGACATTCATTACTAATTAAGCTAAACTATTGTTTGGTTTAAATAAGACTTCAGGGGATATTTTTGGTTTAAGGTTTAAAGATTATCTCAGGGCAATCATTTCGAGGGTTCATCCAGCCTCCATGGCTCCAGAAAGTCTGAATTCTATGAGAATCTGAAATTCTGTTCTACTTTTTCCCCCTTTCGATCAGGATTCTTCTATAGAAACTTTAATCAAAGTATTTAGTAATGGCAGCCAGACACCATGCAGTTCTTCTGTTCTCGTGGCAGAGGAGGCAGTTGTTCATGGAGGCAGTTATTACATTTCCTCCTCAGCAGAGTGAGATTTGATTCCAACAAAATGTGACACATTTATTTGGTAGTTTAGGGCAAGACTTTGACTTCCGTATGCCCACATTTGAAAATGTGAGCTGAAATTTTCCTTTGAGCAATAGAGTAGTATTGCATTTCCTCTCCCTTGCTTAGGTGTGGGACAGTTGTTAATATTCAAGTCACGCTACTCTGGGTTCTCTTGCTACTCTCAAGGAATCTGACCTCTTGGGCTTATTAAAATGTCAGCTTTAATCCTCAGGGTTGCAAATTTTCCTGTTCTCCATATGTTTTATGTTTTGAATCATATTTTATTTTTTGGAAGAAACTTAAAGCTAGCTGGTGTCAGAATTGCGAGGTAATTAAAAAAAAAAAAAAAAGGAGCCCTGGTGGCACCATGGTTACATGCTTAGCTGCTAACTGAAAGGTTGGCAGTTCAAACCCACCCAGCAGCTTTACAAGAGAGAGACTTGGCAATCTGCTCTGTAAAGATTACAGCCTAGAAACCCCTATGAGGCAATTCTACTTTGTCATCTGGGGTCACTGAGTCAGAATTGATTCTGTGGTCCCCAACAACAGCACACATTGTCATAAGTTTTCTCTATGTTTTATGTTTAGACTCCTTAGAAGTGGGAGTACCCAGACTTTATCTCATGTAACTTGGTCACATTGTCAGAAGGAACCAGTCCTTGAAGAAGATACCATGCCTGGTAAAGTAGAGGGTCAGTGAAAAAGGAGAAGACTCTCAATGAGATAGATTGACACAGTGGCTGGAACAGTGGCTGGAACAGTGGGCTCAAGCATAGCAAAGATATTGAGGGTGATGCAGGACCAGGCAGTGTTTTGTTCTGTTGTACACAGGGTCACTATGAGTCAGAAATGACTTGATGGCACCTAACAACAACATATTTTTTTGGAAGGCACTTAAAGTCTGTTGGTATTACAATTTAGATCTAACATGAGTGCTAAAGAAGTGCGATGGCTGACAGGTGTTTACGCTGGGTCCCTTCGGGCTTTTGAAAGGGCCATTTGAGTTTGATGGTTTGGGGCAGTTTTTAGGTTGACTGCTATTGTGGGTCTAAAAAAGGCACCTTCTCCCACAGATTGCCCAGAACCATGGGCTATACAGTTGGAGCTATACATCCTGGATTTCTGGCTGCTGCCTGGCTTTGAGGAGAAAGTAGGAAGGGGAGTGTGGTAGTTAAGGTTGTACGTCAATTTGGCTGGGCCTGGTTGAGTGGCTGGACAGCTGGTGGTAGTTATTCCCCATGATAAGACTGGCAGTCATCTCCATGGTGAGATCTACCACAAGCAGCTGAGTAGCTGCTTTTGGGCTGTATCTGCTTCCTATATATAAGAAGCAGCTTTGGGAATGGTCTCTAGCTTATGGCACGCTTGAACCCTGCATGTAGCCGTGTCGTTGTTCAGCAGCCTGCCATGCTCTGCCAGTCTTGGGACTTTCAGTGGACTTGAGTTAGTGGCTTGCTGTGTTGTTTGGTAACATTGGGACTGTGCTTTTTTACTTGTCAGCCTTGGGCTTGTCAGTCTCAGCAGTCAGCAGCTGTCTGAGTGAAGAAACATCTCTAACTCCACTGAGCTGGGAGCAGGAAGGAGAGCTGAAGCCCAAGTTTGAGGGGCTTTCACCCAGCCCCTAGAGCCTGGCACTTTGAACTCAGACTTAAAGCCTCCAAACTATAAGAGAATAAACTCCTCTATTTGTTAAAGCCATCCCATTTATGGTATTTTCTGTTGAGCAGCACAGAGGTAACCAAAACAAGGAGAGACTGTGAACCTGTTGCATGAGAGAAAGAGAAAGCGAAAGTGTTTTTATGAAAGAGAGACAATCAGCTCAAGATGAGTTTTGTAGCAGAGTCAGAAATCTCATAAAATGTCAGGAACCCCTGGGTGTGCAAATGATGAACATGCTCGCCTGTTAAGTGTGGAGATTCTAGTTTACCTAGAGGTGCCTCAGAAGAAAGGCCTGGTGATCTACTTCTGAAAAATCAGCATTGGAGACTCTTTGGAGCGCAGTTCTGCTGTGACACGCATGGGGGCACCATGAGTAGAGACCACTCTATGGCAAGTGGTTGCTGGTATCAATATTACATTTCAGGG